AGCGTTGAGACTACCTGTAATCCAAGAGCTAATATCAGAGCTGCCATTGCTATGCTTTACTTACCAAATGCAAATCTCTTGGAATGATGCTAGTGGGGTTTTATAATCTCAGTTTTCAAACTTTCCCAAGCTTCTTGAGTTGTTTTCCCCTTGAGGATTCTCATCCATGGAATCCTTCCAAACCTCTCTCTAAGTTTGTTGAAATTAGCTCTCTTAAAGTCCAAGACTCTAGTTTGACTTTGTAATACTACTTGTGCTTGCATAATGTTGAATTCCAATATTGCATGAATCACAATGTTGCACCATAAGCTCTTCCTCCTTTGGGGCATCCATGCAGCACTGCAATGCTTATATAGAAAAGGAGAGATGCTTGCGTAGAAAAGCTACTTTCATTAGTCTTACTTCCACTTTCCCTGAAACACGGCTGCCACTTACAGAGGAATGAAAATACTTCTCTCGCTTTTAAAATGAGGACCAGAAGGGAAAACCCCACTAGCATCATTCCAAGAGATTTGCATTTGGTAAGTAAAGCATAGCAATGGCAGCTCTGATATTAGCTCTTGGATTACAGGTAGTCTCAACGCTACAACAGCACTGAAAAAGTAACTTACAACCGTACCTCAACTTATGACCATTGCAGCAGAATCTTCATGGTCCCCCCTTGGTCACATGATCAAAATTTGAGAGTTTGACAACTGGCATGTATTTATGACAGTTACAATGTCCCATGGTCATGTGTTCACCATTTGCAATCTTCTGAGTTGATTTCCAAAAAGCAAAGTCAATGGATGAAGCCAGATTCACTTAATATTATTCCCTTAACAACTGCAGTGATTTGCTTAACAACCGCAGCAAAAAAGTTCATAAAATTGGGTGTGACTCACTTAAAAACTGCCTTGCTAGGAACAGAAATTTTGGTCCCAATTATGGTTATAGGTTGAGGACTATCTGTATTCAATCTTTTAGAAAAGGGGTAGAAGGTGAAAAGCACCGGGAACTCCTAGGTTTCAGACATGGATAGTATTTGAAATGATGAGATGGATCATTAGTTTTCATTCAGAACGATAAAACAAATTCTTCTTACAGGAATGGCCAAGAAATCAGGAGACTATGAGTTCTAGTTTCATCTTAGGCACGAAATCCAGCTGGATGCCCTTGGACCAATCATCTGTCTAACCCAGTGGTAGGTTCCTACTGGTTCGGACCAGTTCGATTGAACTGATAGTGGTTTGGCGGCCTGGGTCGCTAGAACCAGCAGTGATCAAGGACTGCCATGAACCCCCAAACCGGTTCCTCGGGCAGTGCTGTCAGCACCACCATCTTATTTTTTGGTTCTGCGCATGCGCAAGACAGTTTTGATTGTAGTGTGGACATGCACACAGTGTGCATCACATGCATCTGTGCATGGTGTGCACATGAGCAAACCAGCAGTAGTGCCTGTCGGAACCCACCCCTGGTCTTACCCATCTCATAGGATTGTTGTTTGGGGGAAATATGAGGATCAAAATATTAAGTTTGCAACCCTGAATCACTTTTAAAGTATTGAAGGATAAAAATCTATTAAATGAGTACATTCCAAGAGATTGTTCAGCATTACATACCCATGTAATTGGGCCACTGATTTCATTGGATAAAGAATAATGAAAAAAAAACATATTGACAGAATGCAGAAAAAAGAAAAATAGGATTCAGTGAACATCCCAACTCCTGGATCCCTTCAGACTTCTAAAAAACCCAGTGATAGGTAAAAGCTTTCAAGACAGAGGCAACAAAACCTGTAACTATGTGGAATATCAGAAACAGTAGGCAGTTACTTACTAGACAAGCTTGAGGAAGAAAACTGTTTACTCGGGAGATACTCCACATCCCTTCAAGGTACTGCTGAGCCTGGATCGTTACTGAGCTCAGTGCCCCACTAAGGCCACTGGGAGCCACTGTCACTTGAACGCTGGAGTTTGGGAAGCCACCTGCACCTTGTGGCCACCCTAGTCCCTTCTTCCTCTCCGTCCCAGAGAAAAAGTGTGTAGTTTTGCCAGGCTGTCTACCCCCCTGTCCAGCCATGAGAGACAAGTCCCTTTGAGAAGAGACACTGACCATGTTTTGGGAGGTCAATCTTGGTATCACAGCAGCCATTGCCGCAGCATTTGTAGAGGTTTCTGTTGCCTCTTGACAGCTGGCTTGGTCAAGATTGTGGATGACCTGGATTGCTTCTTGCTTCAGCTGATTCAGGTGGGCAGCACAAACATCACACCTGCTTTCTCCTTCACTCCTAGGTTTCTGTAAACATTCAGGCACTTGAAGCTTGTCAAAAATTAAAGCTGATAATTGTGGGTCCTGGAAAACAAAAACAAGAGCAGAAACACAATGAGTCAGGACCAAAGAATACAAAGAAAGTTTTAAAAAATCAAATATTGGGGTAAAAACTATATTATATTAACCAGGTTAATATTAACTACAGTATTTACTCCACTAGCCCAGAACTGCCTCACCCAGAATCACAGCAGCTTCTTCCAGGCCTGAGGCAAACCTCTCTCAAATCTCTTTAATGTAATCTTGGATCTAAATGGGATATCTATTGCAAAGTCTTCATTCTGGCACTAAGCCACAATTTTTCTCCAAAAGCATAGATAAATGATCGGGCCATCTATTAGGTTACAATATTTCTATTTCAACATGCAGTAGACTTTATGGTCTCCAGTGGAAGTCATTCTTACTATGGGTAAACATTCTAATTGTATATGCCCAGAAGTGAGTTTAGTTTATTTTTCATTCATTCAAAGCTTACGAACCTCAAATATGTATCTAACATTCTCTTGAGGGGAAAAAATGGCCCCAAAGGGGATGCATTTTGGGTGGATATGCTCTGTTCAATTCTGAGCTCATAACTCTAAAATTCTCAAGGGTATGATTTTTGCACAAGTCTTCAGTTCAGAGATTCACAAAATTTATTGCTGGAGGAATAGAATGTTTCAGAGGACTTCCCATTCTAATTCTATTTCCCCCTGGAGTTTGCCAAATGCACCCCTGAAACAAGGACTTACAAGGTTGGATGGTTTTCAGAATTGAATCCTTCAAACTAAAAGCAATTTAAGATCTTGCAGATATAGTGCTCCAGCCAGTTTCAGGACTAGACCACCCCAGAACACCTTAAATCACTTTCATTTTGGGATTCAATATGATCTAGAGCAGGGGTGTCAAACTCAAGGCCCAGGGGCCGGATCCAGCCCATGGGGTGCTTAGATCTGACCTGCAGGGCCACNTTGAGCCGGTGAGATTTGAACAGCCGAACTGCAGAACTGCAGTCAGCTGAAGTAGCCTGCAGTGCTGCACTCTAACCACTGCGCCATCTCGGCTCTAATAAAAATCCAAAACGGATGGAGAAAAATTGTGGGTACTCACCTAGAAAACATTCAAAACCAGAGAAATTTGGGGAGCTCAAGAAATTCATATGCAACTTTAAGAAAGCCACATTGTCATTTTTTTTCCTTGTATGTGATATATTAATACATTATGAAGGAATACAGCAAATAACTTTTGTTCACAGTTCATACGTTGGCCTCTTTCCCATAAATTCACAGATTTTAATCAATATCTATTAGAATCTTAACTGAAACCCAACTCAAATATATTTTTTACATTCCTCAACTTATTTCTTGAGAGTTTACTGAAACCATTTAGAACTGAACAGCTGTCATACTTCATCCAGGGATTATCTCTAAACCACACACAATTTGTATTCCAGTTTCTTAACTCTGAGGTGAACAAAAAGCTATTATGAAAATGTAGCATCCCTAATTACATTCTTCAACGGACAAAGAAAATGCAGTTATTCTACACAGAAATTATTTACAAAGGCATCACAAAAAATAAGGCTATCTTTATGACAAGTTTAACACTGGAACACATAAAGTGAAACTGTTACAATGAGGTATTTTGCTCTGTGACTTTTGCTATAAAATTGAACAAGACAGCTTAGGCTCTCAAGCCTTGTCCATCACAGATGATACACTCAAATACCAACCATGGCCACTAATTTAAATGTAAGATAACAAAGAAAACCTATAATTTGTTGCCTATCTTCAGAATTTCTGCTAAATCCTAAATAACTAGGGCTCAGTTTCTTGGCTGTATTAACGTACATGCAATAATTTTACTTGGTAACCATATAAATCAATTATTTATTGTTTTAATTGCTTTTTTGATATATATCGATATACAATGACAATATTGCTTGTAAAGTTCTGATTGGCATCCTCCCAGATTTTAATTGTATTCACTGTTTGAACATTGTTTTAGAGCTTTCTGTTGTCATTTTTTGACTATTCCTTTATATGGATTTGAGGTTTGTTTGTTCTAATTTAAACTCTGGGAGGCATCCAGTCTCACATACATGAGATTACATTACTATATCAATTGAACACTAAATAAATGTATTCTCCCTTTAAGAAGAAAAGAGCATAGCATAGCATAGCATAGCATAGCATAGCATAGCATAGCATAGCATAGCATAGCATAGCATAGCATAGCATAGCATAGCA